AAATAAATGTTTAATTTAGTGTTTTGGTAAGGTTGTTTTAAAAATGCCAGCAATTAGACTTACAAACTTATGTCGCAGAACTACTCGTATATTATAACTACAAGGCAAAGATATAAAAGAGCAAATAAAACTGACGATCAACGCGAACGCGGTATGAAGTTGAACGGAATCGAAATCGACAGAAAATGAATGTTGTATTTAATCAATATCGCGGTCGCGAGCTGCGCTTAATTATAACGTTTATATCGATTACAGTTCACACCAAATAGTTGCTATAGGACCAATGAACGTTGTGTGTCAATATTGCAGGGCTTTTAAATTTAAAAATGAAACGCCTGGATTGTGTTGCTCCAGCGGTAAAGTCAAATTGACACCATTTGTACCCCAGTAGCTTAGTGTTTATGGCGTCAACCTTGAAAGTCCTTGTTTTTCACATTAACAGTYGAATGTCGCCTGTTTCTGTGTCGAATTACTAACAAAACTCTTATACGCGCCACTGTGTYAGAAGATAAAACAAAGAATGTTGTGTATCATAAAGTATTAGAATAATAAACTCTATGTTTTAAGTTACTTAAAGTGCTTCAAGTTTTTTGACYGAGTATAGAGATAATGGATTTGAAAAAGCYAAAATCGAGGCAAAGTTGAAACGATGTAGCAAAAGTTTTAGAGGTGGAACCTGTTTTAAAAAAAAACTTGACTACGAAAGAAAAACGAATATTTGAATATGAAAGAGCTGATGATGTTGAACAAAATCCGGAAAAAGATTTTAACATTTCTTACTTTTTGGTATTAGTTGATTACATATATCGGTGCTATTGGTGCTATAACAAGACGATTTGACCAAATAACAAATTTTAATAATATATTTGGATTTCTATATAATATTGGAAAGCTTCGGGTTATTCCAGATACAGAAATTTTTAAGCGTTGTCAAGACCTACAAATACATTTAACTGATAATGAAACAAAAGATTTAAATGGTTGTGGTGTGATTTATACGAAGAACTTCTGATTTTCTGCCATTTAGTAGATGAAAATATGCTATTACTTCAGGTACTTTTGAAGTAAAAAAAACTAACGCTTTTCCTAATATAAGTATAGCTTTGAGAATTTTGTGACCATTCTACTCGCATCAGCTGGAGCAGAGAGATCTTTTTCAAAGCTTAAATTAATAAAAACTTATTTACGGAGTACCATGTCCCAACAAAGACTCACTGGACTGGCTACAATTTGTATTGAAAAAGAACTATCCGAACAGTTGAACTATGAAGAAATTATAAATGATATCGCTTCCAAAAAAGCCAGAAAGAAAATTATTCAGAATTTCAACACCAAAACTAACTAATATCAATTATAGTTTTAAATGTTTAGTTRTTATTTTTATGTACTAAAAAAGATTTCATAAATAATTAATTAAATATATTATACTATTTTTTTTTACTTTGATAATGTYCAGTAAGTTTATAATATAAAARTGTATTAAAAAAAATAGCATAAGTACATTTATTGTGTAAGTGATAGTTCATACTTTTATATTTTTTGTATTCACTATATAAAATACTTGTCATCGCAAAAAAATGTAATATGATAAACTTGATGTAAGACACTAGTCAAATATAAAAACTTCTTAGTTAAGTTCCTTAAATATAATCCTTTACTATAAAAGCATATTTGGTATTTTGTACGTTTTAGCTTTCAATATTTTGTATTTTGGGGGCCCCTTCCATTCCAATGTGCCTCACCCCGGGCCCCGCAAAACCTAACGTCGGTGCTTCAACCAAGTGMACGCAATCAGCTATTATATATTTTATATTTGTAGTTTTTATTTATCATAACTATGATCAATATTAGTATTGACTTATCACCAGGGCTTGAAACAGATATTCGACACCGGTTTCGAATATCGGTTAAAACCGTTAAAAACTGAAATCGAAATCGAAACCGGTAAAAAAATATTCGGTTTCAAGCCCTGAAAGCCACTGACACAAGATACGCGACTGTAGATCCATTGTACTCGTACAATCCGTATTCTGTTGATGGTATTGTAATACATTCGATTCTAATCAGAGGTAAAGGGATGTAATAATTTTACAAAGATGTTTTCATCTTTTTTTTACCTTTTAGGAAAAAATACTTTGATTCATATTTCTAGAGTTACAGTATTCAATCATTTCTGTATGAGAGTTTGTTGTAAATATCGATCAGACTTAGTTTTGTAAACTATAAAATATAATTTTTTTATATATTGGGTATATGTTGTAAATTGTTTTGAACTTCCGTACTAAAAAAAAAAATTAATCCCTGGATTCGCAACTGTGATTTTCTACTTCAACATGAAGAAAATTAAAAATCAAAATTCAATGCGACCTCAGACTATTCTATACGTTGCATAAATATTTTTCCCGTAAAGAGTAATATGAGCAAAAATTACGTTTTTCRTTTTTAACTGTAGCGGTGGTGCCGTCGACTTGTGCGCATGTTCAGCCGCAGCTACTGCGCAGATAGCCTAGTACTCGCACAAATCAATACTCATCGTTGACGACWAAMWCCACTGTAATGCATAGGCGTGCGCAGGCCTCTTTTTCAGGATATGCAGAAGGCTGACAATAGCGCGCCCTGAAAGTTATTTTAGGCTCGTAAAATTATGATAATATGTATACACAATTCACAAATATTGAAAAAACCTGCTGTTTAATAAAAAAAATATTGTAATAAATACCAYTACATAATACAAGAAGTATGAATTTCGCAAATACTTGGTAGTTGATAACTGATAACTGGATGTYTCAATTTTCCAGAGTCGATGTTCGCCCCTCACAGAACTTCAGGGTATGCAGCTGCATACCCTGCATACCCCCTGCGCACGCCTATGCTGTAATGGTAGGCGGCAACTAAATTGTATATTGCCAAAATTATGACGCTCAATAAAGACATACGAGCAATGGTGTATTGCTAAAAATATTTGTGGRAATACGCCTTTTAGATCTTTGGTGGCAATGATATGTGTTTCATCGCTCGGAAATAAAATTATATTTTATTTTGATCTTTAAAATCATAATAGTAATAATATGTATTAAAAATGTTGARTAGGTATTTGATTCTAAATGTTGTGTATTCGGAATTGTATTTTCTTAAACAAAATAATGAAATCAGCCTGCTCTACGATGCATG